GAATCCTGAAAAATAAAATGTATCACAGTTTCCACAAAAATATTCATCAGCACAACTGTTTTCAACATTGATAATAATCAGAAATGTTTCTTGAGCAGCAAATCAGCATATTAGAATGATTTCTGAAGATCATGTGACACTGAAGACTGGAGTAATGATGCTGAAAATACAGCTTTGATCACAGAAATAAATTACATCTTAACAGATATTCACATAGAAAACAACTATTTTAGATTATAATAATATTTCACAAATTGTACTGTATTTTTGATCAAATAAATGCAGCCTTGGTGAGCAGAAGAGACTCTTTCAGAAACATTCTTACTGACCTCAGTTTTTTGTTTTTAATTCACCACTCTGTAAAAGGCTTTATTTATTATAATAATATTGATGATTATTATTATTATTATGGTAGGGCATTATTTTACATCTGTTCAGAGAATTGGCTGAATTCGATTTATTTCATGTTTATTCGTATAACACTTTTCACAATAGTTTCAAACCAACTTTACAGAAAATGCATGTTTCTACATTACAATTAAGAGTCGAATGAATCGTTTATGAATCAATATATTTCATATGCTTTCATGCTTTTAATAGTTTCTCCTTCTTGTTTGTCAGAATAAATGCACTCATCCTGAAGATGTGAAGTTGTGCACTTTAATAGTGAAGCCTCCTCCAGCTGCTCCACAACGCAAGAAAGTGGTAAAACACTGCAGTCCTTCTCATGTTCAGAGTGTGTGTGTGAGTGAGTGTGAGTGTGTGTGTGTGTGTGCGTTTGTGTGTGTGAGTGTGTGTGTGTGTGTGTGTGATTCTGCTGGATCAGAAACTGCTGAAACCCCAGACACACACTGAACACATCTACATACCCGAGCTTGATTCATGGTACGTTTGTCAATCACTTTTCTCCAAAGTGACTTACAAATGATGAATACATCAAGAAAGCTTTAGCACCGTTGTTGTGCTGTTACAAACAGCAATCGCATGTTCCTCAGGAAAAGTCAGAATGTGTTTTCTCTTACTGCTGTGGTGTTTGGATCCTCTGATGGACGACAGCATGAAGGGACTGTTTTCCTCGCTGGTCTTGAGGACATGAAATCAAATCTCACATAATTAGATCAAAACGCACATCATAGTTGGTCTTATTACTGCTGGATGAAGCTCTGTGTTTCTGTTTCAAGTGAATGCAAAGTGCCAATTTTGAGCACTGTTTGACAAAATGCTCATGTTGTTTGAACTGGATTGTCAGACGCTTGAGAGAGCACAGATGCAGCGCCTGAGAAACGTGACTGAGTTTAGCTGAAAGAGAAGCGAGTGTGAGCCGGTGCTGCAGAGGCTGCTGGGAGCGGCGAGGATTCATGAAGCACAAACACTCACTGATCGAGCGTCAGCATGAAGAACACTGTTCAGCAATAAGCCTGGAGCCCAGTATTACTCTGAAGACTGTATGGGTTGTAAAATGAAAAGTTATTTTTATTAAGCTGACCTACTTGTGGTTTGAACAGACAGTGTTTCTGACATTCAGCTTTCTCTTGATGCCTGATTATAACGCTGATGATCTTTATAAGTGACGTGACATGTGGCCAAGTATGGTGACCCATACTCGGAATTAGTGCTCTGCATTTACCCATCCAAAGTGCACACACACACCGTGAACACACACACGGAGCAGTGGGCAGCCATTTATGCTGCGGCGCCCGGGGAGCAGTTGGGCCCATCCAAAGTGCACACACACAGCAGTGAACACACACACCGTGAACACACACCCGGAGCAGTGGGCAGCCATTTTATTGCTGCGGCGCCCGGGGAGCAGTTGGGGGTTCGGTGCCTTGCTCAAGAGCACTCAGTCGTGGTATTGAAGGTGGGAGAGCACTGTACATTCACTCCCCCCACCTACAATCCCTGCCGGTACGAGACTCGAACCCACAACCTTTGGGTTACGAGTCCGACTCTCTAACCATTA